CTTTAATAACCCGGTCTGTAAGCATCTAGCCCCCAAAAACCCGCCAAAGAACCCCCGCGGATGCCCACCAGCCCTAAGCCCTCACGTACGCTTAAAGGGTCATGGGGCTTAGTAACTAGAGTTATTATTAGGGTAGCTGTACTTGTAACCCCAATTATGGTACTTATAACCTTACTTACGAAGTCCCATGATCCTCCAAGCGAGGAAGCTCTTTGGTATCGGCCTCATGGGCTACCTGGCATTTCAGTCCATGCAGGCCAGCCAGGGGCTTTTCACTGGGTTTGGTTGTAGCTGGGTTCCAGCTTTTGAGTTTGATGGGCACGGTTTGCAGAACCTCAGCTAGTTTTACTATGAGATTGTTTCTTGTTGTGGATATTGCAGGGTTGTACATGTTTGTATACGCAAGTAACTAATGATATATGCATATATGTACAGAGAGAGGGAGACAGAACAAACACAAACATAACGAAAACTATACACGGAAGGGGCGTTCCCGATCCTAGACCTGCCTACTGGTGAGCAAAGTAGGAGTATCAAAAGCTAGGGTATGTAGCTTACTAGGGCTTTTTAGGTTGCCTTTAAGGGTGCCTCTGAGGGCACTACAGGGGTTCTGTGAGATTTAAGATTTGGGGTACCTTATTGGGCGTTCCGTAGAATGAGGGTCCCTCCATTTAGGTTTCAATGTGCTATAATTATTAGGATCCCCTATCTGAAACTGTGCTACACTCACTCTGACTCTGCTGGAGTTTAGGGTTGCGGCCTTCGTGCATCTTGGTAACTTATCCAGTCCGGATTGCTTGGATCATCCAATCGGTCTGCGGAACTGTCGAACTTGCATGTGTATAATGCTTGTGCAGACACATACATGCGCATCTGCAGACGCATAGTGTGCCCACTATTGCCCACTTATCGGGAATGACGTATTTTGGGAGACGGACAAACCAGAAGAGGTGTTCTGCATGCCCCTGATGGGCTGAGTGCGGGGTATGTCAGTGCAGACGCACATACTCATACAAGACACATCCATGCATGCACCTATGTCTAATCTCGTCGCTTTGTTTGCATGCTAGCTAACTGCATGTGACCTACAAAATCTTCAAAGAAGGGCTCATGCGCGTACAGATCACGTAGTCCCATGTAGGCTTGCAGCAAAACATGAGATGCCATGATGCAGGGAAGTCGGTCCGCTTGGCATGACTTAAGGCCTCCCCTAAAATAGCGACGCTGCAGTATTGCCGCACAACCTTACGTTCGCAAGTGCAGTTCCGCCCTAACATGAATGGACTCGCAGTTTTCTGGATGAGGGTTTGGGCTCCGTAGGATTCGAGGGGCGATCCCGCAGAACCTTTTCTGAGCCGACTACTTTGTGTCTGTTGGTGCAGGCGAACGTCTCACGCAGCAGGCAGGAGCAGCAAATGCAAGGCCAGGAAGCTCAAGTTGCTGTTCGATCAAGTTGTTTTAGGGTTTAGGGTTTAGGGTGATTTGAACCGTTTGTGGTGGTGGAAATTACTCATCAAAGCGATTCGTGAGTCATGTTTGCAACTGCACACCCTTCGTGGTCTGACCGACGACGACTGCTTCTGCCTATTATGTGGCGTTGTCGAAGTCGTCGTCGTGGTCGTAGTCGTATGCGTAGCCGTAGTCGGAGTCGTAGTCGGAGTCGTAGTCGTAGTCGTAGTCGTCGTAGTGGTAGTGGCAGTGAGTGGAGTCGCCGTCGCAGTTGCAGGACGGGTAGCAGAGGAAGCAGGCAGCAGTAGTACAGTAAGCTTATGGTACGGGGTTTGTTGAAAATCCCTAAACCCTAATCCCTAAACCCTTGATAGTGCTTCGTGTTCAAGTTTGCTTGGCAATCCCCTGCTCCCGGCCAGTACTGCCAATGCAAGGGCCTCTAACTAGCCGTGATGCGAGCCAGAGCAATTGCCCAAACTTTTGTATTCAGTTTAAGGCCTAGGACCTAGAGTAGGCCCTTATTCCCTTTTTGGGGGTTCAGGTTCTCTTATAAGCCCCTTTAAACTAAAAAGGGCACCCTTTTCATTCCTAGGCTACTCTTGGGTCTAGAGGCTGAATATGCCGGCTGCAAGGGGCGCAACAAGCACCAACTAGTACATTGCGTATTCCGGGGTTGGTTGAACCGATGCACACGACGTTGATGTGGAGGTTCAGAGAACGAAACTGTCTGAGACCTCGGACCTTGCGGCTTGAACACGCAATTACTGCGATTAATCTGTGGGATGCCTCTGCCAGGCCAGTACTACAATGCCTGTGGGCGTCGGCAGGAGTGTTTGTGAATGCCCCACCTATTCTCAGAGCCTGCAGCAGCAGTTCTTTGTAATTCTGGAAGCAGTGTTCCGCAAATTCGTTATGTCCAATGTCAACAGGCTTCTGTCGTGAGTCGTTGTTCACCAGTCAATCTTCTTGGTACTGCGGTTCTTGATTATGTCAAATATGCCTGGGTTTGGAGTACCATACTTGAATACTTTTTTTGGTATTTGTTCCTCAAAAGAAGCATTATGAAAAAACAAGTCTATACTTTTTTCAGCCTGGTTACTTCAAAGTCCAGTTAAGGTAAAAGCCAGAAAGTTGGAATATGATTATCCTAACCCTTCTATGGTACATAATAGGGTATCCTACCATGAAACCATATTCCAACTTTCTGGAGTTCCCTGTATATCTTCACTGCTACTCCTCCTCTTGCTGCTGCCGCTTCCGCTTCAGTGCGTCGGTCCGATCTCGGGTGCTGTAGACTACTTGGAGGATCATGGGACTTAGTAAGGGTTCTTAAAAGGGGGTACTTAAAGGGATCTGTAGGGTTCCTGGCAGGGCTCCTTAAAGGGATCTATAGGGTTTGGGTTTAGGGTACTACTTGGAGGATCATGGGACTTAGTAAGTAAGGTTATAAGTACACTAATTGGGGTTAGAAGTATAGTTACCCTAATAAAAACTCTAGTTACTAAGTACCATGATCCTTTGGCTAGCCTCAGGCTCTGAGGTTCACGGTGCTTGTAAGGGATCAAGGAATTTTGGTTTGGGGTTTAGGGTTTAGGGAGGTTGCCCGAAGGCCCCAAAGTAGTTCCTTTTGGGGATTACCTAATAGGATTCTGAATATGAACCCCCAAAAGGACCTACTTTAGGGCCTTAGGGTAGGGTGCAGCGTTTAGGTTATTTCAGGGCCTAGGATTCGGGGTGAAAGGATTGCGCTGCCGAGGAACTGGGATGCTAGATAAGGGAAAAAGTCCGGGCTACGTGGGATTGATGGACCATAGGGTTCGATTGTGGGAGGAGTTCTTATGTTGATGGATCAGTGATAAGGGTTGCTGTAGCCCAGGACCTTAAACCCTAAGCCCATAAGCCTGAATGAAGCGCAGAATGCATAACAAGGCACCCTAAACCCTAAACGCGACTTCAGGCCTCTGTCTTCTCTACTTGCAGGCTGTAGAGCTTCGGGGCTTCAAGGTCTGAAGTTTGATAGTTTAGGTATTTTAGGTCATACGGTTGATGATATAAATCCTGCATGACCCATAATAAGGAATATACCATAACTCCCATAGTTTAGGGTCCTTAAGGTAATGCAGGATTTATATCATCAACAGTAGTTTAGGTATTTTAGGTCATAACACAGAAGGTAAAATCGGCCTTCTGGGCTTGGATTTGGGGTTTTGGGCTTTCGGATATGGGGGGTTTCCGAAAATTATGGGTTCCTTATTTTGGGGTCCTATAAGGATCCTACTACTTAGGGTACTAGATTAGATTAGGGTCCCGTATTTTCGGAAACTCCCATATAAGTGTTGTTTAGATCGTGTGCTTCGCTACGGCTTTGCTGGCCTGCGTGGTATCGATCCTGCCGCACGACGAAGTACACAGTGCTCACGATTCAGGGTTTCGGGGTTTAGTTTCTGAATCCCGAATCCCTGAACCACTAATTAACCCTGTCAACCTGATATGCCCTAGACGCTACAGTTTGCAATTCTTGAGCCGAAGCCCTTGGTGCCGCACCTCCGGGCTCTCAGCTGCTTTACGTTTTAGGATTCAATGGCACGGTTGGAAGCACGAAACAGGTTCGGGTGCATGCAAGCTTTGAAAGGCTTCAGACAAAGCCCGGAGACTCCCAACCCCCAACAGCCCAACACCCCACCCAAACCCCGAAGCCCTGAACCCCCTCCCCAAACCACAAAGCCCAACAGAGCCCTATAAAGCCCGCCATCCTTTGCAACCCCCCAAAACCCCTTTCAATGGGTTGCTGGGAAATGGTGTGTGTACATTTGACGAGAGCGACGAAGGGGAAGCCGCGCTAGCCTGGAGCTCAGGCTTAATTTTAAGGTTTGGGGGTCTCTTGTTAAGCTTTGGGTTTAAGGTTTTGATTTTGGGGTTCTGGATTTTAGGGTGGGGGGGTTTAGGGTTTAGGCCTTAGGGTTTTGGGTTTTTGTTGGTTTAGAGTTTTGTCGTTTTGGGGTTGTGGTGGTTTCAGGCCAGCACCGAAACCTTACCGTTAACCGTGAGCTTTTAAGCCGAAATTCTGCCCTGGATGTAACCAACCTTGCTTGACGATACCGATCGGCAGCTTAAACCGTGATTGCCAATCCTTCAGGCGCAGCCTGACCTCCTGCCAATACTTATCCTTCGAGTGCCGACAACATTGCATGTTGCTCTGTCGCTATATCCCTTAGCACAGGCCCCAAGGCCTCAATATTCTAAGTCAGCCAAGCGCTTTCCATATTGGGAATCGGAGCTTGGGGTCCAAGCCGTGAAGTAACATCTCTAAAGCCTGAACGCTCAGACTCCCTTGTGCTTTCCACTCTACGACCATCAGCCCTGACGCCCTAAACACTTTCTTCCCTAAACTACCATAATAACCTTCTATGTTGTGGGTTCTCATTATAAATCTATTATCATCTGTATATATATATATATATATATATTTATTTATTTTTTTGCAGACTCTATAGGGACACAACTTCGATTCTGCTAGCTCAAAATAAACCCTGCCAAGGCACAGAAGCGGCATGAGGCTTCAGAGCCCGGACCTCAACATACTAGACAAGGGTTCGGGGCGACGGGTTTCTTGCTTAGGATGTTGAGTAGAGTTCTGATGACGTTTAGCACATGCTTTAAATCATGTTACATAATATATTGGTACTTAGTCTTATACTTATGCTTGTATATATACTTGTATTTGTACTTCTGCTTATACTTGCACTGATACTTATTCGTATACTTATACTTATGCATGCATGCATACATACAAGTATGTATTTAAAGTATACGTTTATCTACAGTGTCACGGGTTAAGCACGCTTAGTGTTTTGAAGACTTTGTGAATGCTTTCCTGGTCCTTGATGTTTCTTTAACAGCCTTGTACTGAGTTATGAGGCTTCCTTAGGTTGCTGGGTTTACTTCAATGATTCAGAGATGTGCCTCAGGATGTTGTGTATTGGTTGTTTTGCACATTGCTTTCATGCGCATCTCAGCGTCACGTCGATCCACATCAGATGACCTGAACTCGCCTGGATCCCGAACTGCTGAATCCTAGCCCCTACACGGTTTCATACCCCAAAGCCAAGACCTCCTCGAAACCCTGAACCCTACATTCAAACCCTTTCTTCTAGGCCCCTTCACGCGGGATTACGGGACTCCTAACCTACAGGGCGAACCCTCCCTCGTGTGTAGGGTACCTACTTTTCCATATGACAGATCTAAGACTAGGTACCCGAAACGGGTAGAGTATGAACCTCTACTTAGAGGTTCCTGGGTTGTTTTAAGTGGAGTTATGAGCAGGCTAACTATAGTTATAATCCATTATTTCGGAGACATATCACCCCACTGTTAAATACCCTTAAGCCCTTATCCTTAAGTCCTAAACCCCATCGAACCCTCAAAGGGGCCCAACTTATCACCACTTATGACTACCCAAGTAGCAACTTGGAGGATCATGGGACTTAGTAAGTCAAGGTTATAAGTACCACACTTGGGGTTATAAGTATATTTGCGCCAATAATAACCTTATAGTTACTAAGTCCCATGATCCTTAAACCCTAAACCCCCCATATAGATCCGTTATAGATCCCTTTAAAGAGCCCTTTAAGGAACCCTTAAGCCTGGGTTTGGAGTACCATACTTGAATACTTTTTTTGGTACCTGTTCCTTGAAGGAACCATTATGAAAGAAAGTCTCTACTTTTTTCTCCCTGGTTACTTCAAAGTCCAGTAAGACCCTAGGCCCTGGTCTCTCCTCAACCCAAAACCCCCTAAGTCCCATGATCCTTTAGGAAGTGTCCGAACCTGAGTTCCAAAAGGAGGGCCCCTTAATAAGGACCCCTAGGTATATACCCTTAATATAGTATATACCCATTATATAGCCCATTATAGGGTAGGGGTCCGCATTAAGGGTCCCTCCTTTTCCCCTTTGATCAGTGCCTGGACTCACTCTTCACCCCGCCAGGGCTTCTGCTTGCAGTGCTGGCCATGGGCTTAGGGGATATCTGCTTGGCGTCTATTCCTCGGATTTTGGGTTTAGGGATGATAGTTTCGAATAGTTTAGGGATGATAGTTTCGAACAGTTTAGGGATTTAGGTTCAGGGTTTGGGGGTTTCAGGATTCTTGATAGGGTTTCGGATGGCTTAGATTTATGAATTTAGGGTTTCAGGGCGTAGGGCTCAGGAGTTTTTTCGTTTATCAGTTTTGGGTGCATGGGGTTTCGGGTTAAGGTTGCTCTTGCATGCAGGAAATGGTGTTGCTCAGGCATTCATCTTTCCGGGGACGTCGAGGCGACAGTTTCATGTACCACTGAGGTGGTCAGTACGGCAGGGGCTTAGCTGGGGTAGGCTACGACAGGGCTATCGCGCTACGTCTGCCTATGCATGGCTTATGTTACACCATTACACCAGAATACGAGGACGAGAATCAGAATCAGAACTGTCCAGCCTCAACCCGATGTAGAACCTTGTTCTTTGTATGATATGCTGAACCGGTCGGATAAAGCAACAAGCCCAACCCCCCCCCTCCGAAAGAGCAGCATAGAAAGGATGTCTCAATTTCTCTGAAGCCGAGAGGTTTCCTTCGTATATATGGGTGGCAGTCAAAATTGTGGTCCCTTTTTGGGTCCCTGCTATAGTACGGCACCTAATATTTAGGGTGCCCAAAAAAGGGACCCTAATTTTGACAACCACCCATATGAGCCAGAGTAGCGCCACACAATTTCTCGAAAGTCAGCCTGGCCATGATGTTGGGCCTGATCTTTCCGAAAAGAAGATGCTTTTGATACTGGGCATGAAACAGCCGCAGCAATAAATTAGCAGAGGGTCGATACACACTACTATTAGGGAACTAGGTGCCGAAAGAGCATCCCTACTATGGCTTTGGGGACCTAATTCCATAATGATATTGTTTATGGATCCTCTGGGCTTGTTTCTTCAAACAGCGAGTCGTTCGCAAGGAAGGGTTGGATCGAAACAGGGATGCAGCTGGCGGGTTAGCTGGCATTCCACAAACCCCATCCCGAACTGGCCCTAAAGGTCATAGCATCTGCTCCGCCACAATAATAGCACTAACAACCATAATATCAACAACCAGCACTGACAGTAGTAAGAACATGTACAATAATCATCATACCAGTAGCAGTAGTAGTAGTAGTAGTAGTAGTAGTAGTAGTAGTAGTAGTAGTAGTAGTAGTAGCAGTAGCAGTAGTAGTAGTAGTAGTAGTAGTAGTAGTAGTAGTAGCAGTAGCAGTAGCAGTAGCAGTAGCAGTAGCAGTAGCAGTAGCAGTAGCAGTAGCACAGTCCAAGACATGTTTGATATGAGCACCGCTAGTGTTGACTGTGCCAACTGCTGCTGTCCACGGATGGCCGGACTAAGTCTGCAAGCAGGGCCGCAGGACATGGACACATGTTCGCGAATTGGAAGTGGAAGTAGTAGTAGTAGTAGTAGTAGTAGTAGTAGTAGTAGTAGTAGTAGTCGTCGTAGTAGTAGTAGTCGTAGTAGTAGTAGTAGTAGTAGTAGTAGTAGTAGTAGTAGTAGTAGTAGTAGTAGTAGTAGTAGTAGTAGTAGTAACAATACATGAAAATAAGAATGAGCATAAGAATAATAGCAACAATGACAGCGATAACAACACTAAACAACAACAGAACAGTAGCAGTGATAATGGCCGCCCAGGTGCTCCCAATCAGAAGCCAGAACTCTTCGAACACTTCGGAAGAGGAGCGGTTGCCAGCAGAGCTGCCACCCGTCGCCGTGCCCCCAGAAAATAGGCTTTGTTAGTTGACTATATGAACTGTTGTAAACCCTAACCCCTGAACCCCATCAATCCTGTCATTGTGGTCACGAAGGTCAGGGCAGGTGGCTCAGGTTTTCTGCTTCGGGGCTCTGGGTTCAGGGTTAGGGCTAGGGTTTAAGGTTGCAGGTTCGGAAGTTCTAGAATGTGATCTTGGCCATGTGTTGCTCAGCCCGTAATTTCAAAAACCCTAAACCCTAAACCCCTAAACCCTAAACCCTAGACCCTAAACCCCAAATAGATCCAAAGGGAGAAGTGCTGCGAACTCAGGGCTCCTCTCTAGGATTCTAGAGGCATGGGTCCACACCATCGAGTAGGGATCCTGCGGGATAAGTGTCTGGGGTTTCAGGGTCTAGAGTTCAGGCTATACGATTATGGTTCCCATTTTAAAGACTCCGAAGTGCATTCCGTGATCTTCGACTCAACATGATTGGAAGTGTCGCCTCAGTTGCATCACGTTTCACTGCTAGGAGCTTGGAGTCAGGAAGGCATGCAAGCTGCTGTGCCAAGTCCGAAACCCTACCCACCTCTGAAACCGGAACCCTGAAAGGCGAGCAAAAACGCTGCAAATTCCAGGCTGCACACCTCGCAGTCCGAAACTCGTCATCGCAACCCTCACGCGAGCTGGTCCGATTTTGGATCTGTGTACATACCTGCAGTCTCCATCGTGGATTGGTTCTTGGTTAACCAAGTAATGGATTGTTAGACCCAACAGATAACCACAAACATGGAAGTGCAATGCCAAGCTATGGGTACAGATAGGTACCATCTACAGAACGTCGTTGTTTTGCAAGTCCTGAGTTGGTATTGATTGTATGTGATGCCTTAGTAGAAAGACCCCTCAATTGTCAACGAAGTAGGGCTTGATACGTAAACTCTTATGCCGCCAATGGCGATTTCCTGAGGTCTGAACTCTAGGTCATCTAGGCCGAGTGAATCCTTTTGATCCTGACATCATGTGTCGTCCTGAACACCTGGTGGACCCACACCGAAGAAGTGGCTAAGTAGGTTCATAAGTAGGATTACCGCGCCGGCTGGTGCAACTTTACTTTCCGACTCCCCGTGGTCCTCTAAGCACAGCCAACCCTAAGGGACCAAGTAGTTCTCATTTATGGCTTTTGATGCCGAAAAAGGCTTCAAAGTCCCATAATAAGGAGTACCTGGACCCTCTGGGCCAGCCTAACTACCCTGTATTGTATCCCCCAACTACCCCTTAATGGGAAATATCAGAGCCCTTTTAAGGAATCTTTGGGCCATCGGGACATGCGCTCAACCCTAAAACCCAAACCCTAAAAAGTACTTGGGCCCTCTAAGAAAGCCATCAACCCTAAACCCTAAGCCCCAAGGAGTTGGGCAACCATCAATTGTAATTAGGCGCCGTAGTAAAATACGCAAAATGGGACCCTAATTTTGACAACCACCCATTTGCGTACGTTTCGCCTCCGGGCCAGGAAGACCAACCCTACGGGTCCGTGTACCTAAATAGTGCATACTTTGGCCCTCAAGTACCTATGCAGGGACTACTTTGCTGCCAAAGTATATACTATTTGGGCACATGGAAACTTAGGGCGAGCTTCCGAAGTCCAGTTCAAGACGTCAAGAGTCAAAACCCTGATCCTGCTCTAAACCATAAAGCTCCTGTAAAGCCCTGGTAGAGCTACTTAGTATCCCCAAAAAAGAACCCTTTATAGAACCCACGTAAGTAGCGCCCTCAGGTCAGAGGTGTTCCATGGGGGAATGAGTCCCGAGTGCGAGTCCGCCCTTCGCAGCGGGATCCACGGATCGAGAAGTACTCCAGGCGCTTGCAGGACCGACCCGGGGGGCCCCCTCAAGCCCTAAACCCCTAAATCCCTAAGGCCCCTATAAGACTCTAAACCGCCCACCGCCAAGAGGGCCTACTAGTCGTTCGTTTGGGAAATTGTGCTGCTCAAAAAAGGTGAAACAACATAAGTCAATGGTAGTAAGCTGTAGTAAGTGTGTAGTAATCGTGTCATACTAGGTGCCCCATAACCGAAGGCGTCTGCTTAACCCAAAGGCTCCATGTACCTTTATAGTAGAAACTTAGGCCTTAAAGGAGTCCCTATATAGGTACTTTAAGACCTAAGTATACACTATATGGGTACATGGAGCCTTAGGGTAAGAGATCGGGGGTGTTGGGCTCATCCGGCCGCGCGTCCGAGCTGGGGAGGCCTTGAGGGCACACGTGGCATAAAAGGGGACTTTAGAATCCCTAAGGCTCCATGTACCCATATAGTATACCCAAAGGCCCTGAAGTAGGTCCTTTTTGGGGTTCATATTTAGAATCCTATTAGGTAATCCCAAAAAGGAACTACTTTGGGGCCTATGGGTATACTTAGGCTATATAGGGACCCCTTTAAGGCCTACGTTTCTATAAAGGTACATGGAGCCTTTGTGGGAGTTCGGAGCTTGAGGTTCAGGCTCCAAGATTCACGAGCGTGGTTCTGAATCTCATCTCGCGCACGCTGAAGTGACCCTGCGCCCTACACACACAAGGCTTAAAGCCCTAAGGCCGTAAACCCTAGAACCCCAAACCCCTAAACCATAAACCCTAAAGCCAAACACACCTAGGCCCTAAAACCTAAAGCCCTAAAGCCCTAAGGCATAAGCCCAAACCTAAAACTCAAAACCCTCAAGCCCAAAACCCGAAAAAAAACCCAAACCCCCAAATCCAAAGCCCCGAAACGGTAAGCCCCAAACCCTTAAAACCGTAAAGCCCAAGCCCACAGAAGCTCTCCCAGCCTCCCTGCATTCCTCCGGAGGATGGCTGGGTGCCGCCGCACATGATTGCAGGGGCCCCGTGGGTTCTGAGATTTAGGGTTTTAGGGGTTTTCGGGGTTTAGGGTTTTCGGGATTTGGGTGTTTTAAGGTTCCAGGAATTTTTGGGGGTTTTCAGGGTTGAGGGCCTTCGGGATTTGGTGGTTTAGGGATTTTGGTGATTTTGGAGGGGTTTTAGGGTTGAGGGTTTTAGGGATTTGAGGGGTTTAGGGTTTAATGGGGTTTTGAGCTTAGTTTAGGGTGTAGGATTCTATGGGGATAGGGTCAAAGCTTGCCACCTTCCAACTTGTGCAGTCTAGAGTCTAGAATGTGGGAATTTGGAATCGGATACAATATAGGGTGTTGTTTCAACTACTCGTGTTGTTCAAGGTGCACCGCTACATGATTGACTACCTCGCAGACATTCCTCTGGAGCCATCGAGACACAAACAAGCAAACCCAACACAAATCCCGCCTCATGTGCAGAACGACTTGACATCAGAGCTTCTTCTAACATCGAAGTTGAAGCTGTCTTTCCGCAACCCTTGCAAGAACAACTTCTTAGCTCGGAGCCTGGGTAAGGCGGCTCTCTTGCTAAGGGTCCATGTGCCCAAATAGGGTTCCTTCAAGGGCGATCATTAAGGGTTCCATAAGGGTGGTTGTGAAAGTTAGGGTCCCTTTTTGGGTCCTTATTGTAATACGGCACCTAATACTTAGGGTACCCAAAAAGGGACCATAATTTGGACCATGTGCCCGATTAGTATATACTTTGGCCCCAAAGTACTTATGTAGGGATCACTTCAGGCCAATGTATATACCATTTGGGACCTGAGGGTCATGGTTTGGAAGGCTTCAGAAACAAATCGTTTCGGAGTAGGGGGATATTATTTATTTGGATTCGGCGGGCTTTTTCACGCGTGTCTGGTAAGAGTACTCTGCGAGGGTTCCGTTCGCCAGAATTTTAGCATAATCAGTGCTATGTCATGGAACGGCTTTAGCCGAGGTGTTTGCGTTTTTTTGTGTTTTCCAGTGGAGCCCCGCTGTCCACACCCTCAGCCACAACACGGACTCGGACGAATCCCGAAGTGCGTGTCCTAGCTTACTCTCTCGGATATTGGGCATGGGGATAAGGATTTCGGGACAGTCCCTGCTTGCTAAGGATCGCATTCCACCGCCTCCGGTTCAGTACATTCCGGGCACCGGTGCCGTCATCGCACGGGTGTACATCATGTACGAGGCAGATTCAGCGTGGCAGCTTGATACCAGGAGATTATATACCTTACAGCCTTGCCCCCTAAACCGCACTACCCTTAACCCCTCAGCCCCCCAAACCCTTAAGGCCTAGGCGCTTTTCTGTTGCGAGGCCAAATGGAGCAACAAAAGGCTGTCGCATGCGAATGTAGAGCTGCTGTTTAGTACTTTCAAGTTGCGCATTGCCTTGATTTCTGTTTCAGCCTTCGTTCTCTCCCCACACCTCAACCCTAAACCCTGAAAGCGCATAGCCCCATAACCATGCACTTCTGAGATTCTACTTCAAGGACTAGGATGCCCAGTAGTACCCTTATTCCCTTTTTGTAGTCCTAGGTTCCTTATAAAGTTACCTAATACCAATAAAAGGAGAGGCCTTTTTATTCTTAGGTTACTGGGTATCCTAACTAGTAAAGTACTCCCGGTTTGCATACTTCAGGGCCCATGCATGTACTAGAACATGGAGCCTTAGAGCATAGCATCCTCTGTTCTGTGATAGTTATGCCTGGTAATCTGGGCTTTGGAGTATCATACTTTAAGACTGTTTTGGGACCTGGTACTTAAAGGGAACCAATTATGAAAAAGAACGTCTATACTTTTTCTCCCAGGTTACTTCAAAGCCCAGTAATATGCCCACAAAGCCCGATTGTAAAGCGCTGCTTTTACTTCCAAATCAGAAAACTCGTCATGCATGCAAAGATTATGTTTTTGGGAGGGCTCCAGGTGCTCAAACAAGATAGACCAGGTCTGACAGATTTCGAAGAGCCGACGCACTTCTGCATTTTGGACGAGGGCACTGGGCGCAATCCTGTGTCGGTTGTGCTAGGGTTGTCACGCCATTTCTCCCTACCTAAACCCCCAAAAGTAAGTAAAAATAGCCCAAAACTCATAAAAGGCCACTATTCTACATAATTTTGGGGTTCAGGTAGTGATCTAGAAGGCCGAAGACAAAATCCAATCGACGCTGTGCGGGTTGGGGGCGTTTTGGTGTGCTGCCAGGTTAAGACGGACGACTGGCACTTCATGAAAATTCGGCTCAGCAACCGCTTGGCTGCCTTCTTGGCAGCCCGGTCACGTTTAGGCTTTAGGGGTTTCGGTTCAGGTTCTAGGGTTTAGGATTTTTATGGGCTTTGGGTTCAGGTTTAGGCTTTAGGACCTTGGGAACTTCAGGGTTTATGTGTACTCAGGAAAGAAAGGGGTCATAGAACTTGGCTAACTACTTCTCTGCCTTTTCGGCGTCTTGCATACGGGTCACCTGTAAGGGTGCTTAGTAGTGTTTCCCCAAGGGTCCAAGTTCCCAGTAATCATATATATATATATATATAATATCTATATATATATATATATTATATTATATTATATTATATTATATTATATTATATTATATTATATTATATTATATTATATTATATTATATTATATTATATATTTACTCGCCAAAATCCGAGCCTACATACCTACCGTCCTAAACCCAAGTACCTAATTATTGGGTCCTTCGGACCCGTGAGGTTCGAGAGAGCCATAAAGGATGCGATGTATGAAACCGGGAAGATACCACGATGCGCACCTCGGAGGCCCGCGTTTGTTTTAGCGACGATGTATACAACCAAGCCGCCGTTGTGCACAGTCTTGAGTCTGTTGGTACTGTGTTGATGAAAAAGGTTATACCGTTATACCTCATGACTCTTGGATGATGCGGCTCCATGGAACTCTTCTGCTAGAGTTCAAAAGCACCCTTCGCTAACCCGAATCGGAACCCTTTTAGGCATCTTAAGGGAGCCAATTTCATCCCTGCGAGCCGCACGCCTTGCCAGGGGGTGCAGTCTGTCTATGTCGACCTGGAGCAGGTAGGAGTCAGATTTAGTTCCGTAGTCCTCATGAGGGTCCCTGTGCTTGAAATTAAATATGCACTTTACACATGCATGTGTGTTCGCATGGGTCTGTGTGTGAGTTTGAATGTGAAAAGATATACTGACATATATATATATATATATACATATCCCTTCTATGTGTGTTAACATAACACGTGCAAATAAAGCACATGCGAGTAAATCAATAAATGCATGTACATGTATATATATATATATATATATATATATATGTGTGTATATATAGAGACATTTATATATTTATATGTATACACATGCATTTGCTCATGAGGACACGTTTTTCTAAGAGGATTTTCTTAGTTACTTTACGGCCATGGCATGTAGTATCCGAGTACATGGACCCATTGGCGAGTGGACTTGCCTTGGGTCCTTGTAGAATGCACAGCCGGCGACACCCTTCCTGCTTGTATTGCTAGGACCCAGAGTAGGCCCTTATTCCCTTGTTTTAGGTTATTTAGGTTCAGGTTCCCTTATCACCACCTTTAAGCCAAAAAGGGCACCCTTTGAATTCCTAGGTTACTTTTAGGTCTAGAGTGTGCACTTACGGGGTCAAGCAGCCTGTCATGTTGTCTTACAACTCTTCCAGATGTGTAGGAGAGCTTTTTGCAGGCTTGTTCAAGCTTTTTCCATTTGTCATAAGAAGGCGCACTTACTGATGACTTTATGTACTATACGTATTATGGTAACTTGGACTAGTTTCCTTACAACAAACGCCCAGATACGTGCGGACATCATTCGAGCTTATGTTTGACTGTTGAAAGCCCGCGAACATGATCCTTTTGGGTCCAAGGTCCAAACACCTAGTAGTCGGGTAGGTAACCTTTAACCTTTTTGTGGTAGTATAGTCCCTATATAAATCCTATATAAGCAAAAAGGTTAACCTTTAGTTTCCCATGATACCCAACAAGTAGGAACAAGTCCTAGTGTGCGACTGCGTCCGAAAACATTGTTACAACTGCGCCTTGCAAAATTATGTACTTCTTATGCACAACAGCATACAAGTATAAACTATATACGGCCCAACTTACAAGCCCCCCCCCCCCCCCCAATCCTCCAAGTGGATGATTTCTTCGAGCCGTGGAACACCCACAATTACAGTAAAAGCCAGAAAGTTGGAATATGATTACCCTAAACCCTTTATGGTAATTTATAAGGTATCCTACCCTGAAACCATATTCCAACTTTCTGGAGTTCCCTATACATGAATATTCATGCCGAGTGCGACTCAAAGTCGATCCTCCCCTACTGAGTAGACTAGGATGCCCAGTAGTACCCTTATTCCCTTTTTGTAGTCCTAGGTTCCTTGTAAAGTTACCCAATACCAAAAAGAGAGGCCTTTTTATTTTTAGGTTACTGGGTATCCTAGGTTTTGACCCTAAAGTACCTATCTATGGACTACTTTACGGCCGTAGTATATACTACATGAGTACATGGACGCTGAAGCAAAACAAAGTCAGTGACTAGACTATTCCCTGCAACAGTCGTACCCAAATAATGCCTTCTTGGAGCCTACGCCAGACATCCTTACCGTAGAAACCAGAAACTTGGAACATCAATAGCCCCATGCCATTAAGGTAAAGTATAAGGGATCCTAGCACTATTCCTCCTAAAGCCATGTTCCAACTTTCTGGCTTCTATTGTGGCTGTATGTAGGACGGTGTTCAGCCCCCCTCCCCAGCCTACCTCCCCGTCACCCCGAACCCTTACAACCCTTCTGAAACCCTAACCCCGCTTCTACTGTAAACGCTCCTATAAACTCTAATCTAGGGGCCGTAATAGTTAGGCCAGGGTTCCTTTAAGGGTTCCTTTTAAAGGGGTCTATAAGCATTACTATAAGGGGTAAACGCTCCGGGCGGTCTCGTGTGGTGAGGTGGAACCGGTCCTCGTGGAGGAGCGATGCGTCCCCGGAGTCGGGCTCGAAGTACTACACCTTTAACCTTATAAGGGTTTAGGGGTTTAGGGGTTTAGGGGTTTAGGGGTTTAGGGTTTAAGCTTTAGGGGTTTAGGGTTTAGCAATTTAGGGTTTTGGGTTTAGGTTTTGGGGGTTTAGGGTTTAAGGGTTTAGGGGTTTAGGGCTTAGGGGTTTAGGGTTTAGGGGTTTAGGGTTTAGGGGTTTAGGGTTTAGGGGTGTAGGGTTTGGGGTTTAGGGGTTTAGGGTTTGGGGTTTAGGGTTTAGAAGTTTAGGGTTTAGCAGTTTTAGGGTTTGGGGTTTAGGGGTTTAGGGTTTAGGGGTTTAGGGTTTAGGGTTTAGGGTTTAGGGGTTTAGGGGTTTAGGGTTTAGGGTTTAGGGGTTTAGGGTTTGGGGTTTAGGGGTTTAGGGTTTGGGGTTTAGGGGTTTAGAAGTTTAGGGTTTAGCAGTTTTAGGGGTTGGGGCTTGGGGGTTTAGGGTTTAGGGTTAAGGGTTTAGGGGTTTAGTTTTCAACGGCCGGGCTTCAAGGTTCTGCGGTTTGGGGTTTCGGTGTTCCGGTCCATGAGGCTGACAGTGAAGGGTTTTGAGGCCGAAGCATCAGATTATCGAAGGTCCCAGGCTCTGCGCCGTCCTGTAAGAGCTTCGTCTACTTGGAGGATCATGGGACTTAGTAAGTAAGGTTTTTTGTACCCTTTTTGGGGTTATAAGTATAGATACCCTAGAAATCACCCCAGTTACTACAGTTACTACGTCCCATGACCCTTTAAGTACAGTGTTCAAGATCTGCAAAGGGTAGAAGCGCTGGACATCGGTTCGAGGGTTCAGGATTTGGGTGATCAAGTCCTCCCTAAACCCAGGCAAACCCCCGAACCCTGTATTAACCCCACACTCTGAACCACCCCAAAGCCTTAAACCAGTGAGCGCCGGGGACGCTCCCGAGGAACGTGACTTTCTTCTTCCAGTCCGATGTAGTGACATCCCAGGACTCTAAACCCCTATGATGGTGTCACATGACGACACCAATGCGAAGGGGCCCAACTCTCCGAGGATGCGTACAACGCCCTCGTCAACTGGTTGGACCCTTTGGCGGTCGGAGTGATAGGAGTCACAAAAGGAAGGAACTCCACGACACTCTGACCGGGGCTGGTGCCACGGAGGACCAGGCCAGGATGGCCGTTGGGTCCGTCCACCACCAGTTGAAGGAGGAAGCGGAGAATGAGGGGGTGCCGCTTCCCGTCAAAGCTCAGAAAGTCGGCGACCTCCTCAAGGTGCCCAAAGGCCCCAAAGTAGTTCCTTTTTGGGATTACCTTACAGGATTCTATATATGAACCCCCAAACAGGAACTACTTTGGGGCCTTTGGGTGCTGCCGACCGAAGCCCCGAAAGGCTTCGAGGACAGGACGCACTGACGAGGCTCTGGTTTCGCAATACTAAACCCTAAGGCTCCATGTGCCCTTATAGTATATACTTAGGCCTTAAAGTGCCTATATAGGGACCCCTTTAAGGCTTAAGTATCTACTATGAAGATACATGGAGCCTTTGGGAAAGGCATCGGGGACCTCAACGAGGCCATTGCTGCCATAGCACGGGCGCTCCATAAAACGCCTGCCGACATACAGGCCGTTCTTGAAGTCTGCCCTGCCATGGCTGCTCAAGCCATTCGCTCATATCTCCGCCACTGCAAGCAGAACAGCCCTAAAGGGAACTCCAGAAAGTTGGAATATGGTTTCAGGGCAGGATACCTTATAATTTACCATAAAGGGTTTATTATAATCATATTCCAACTTTCTGGCTTTTAAAGTTGGATTATCATTATCGTAACCCCTTTAAGGTAAATTATAGGGGATCCTACCATTAATCCATATTCCAACTTTCTGGAGTTCCCTATAGTAGGGTACACTAGATAGTAGGATTCTAGTTTTACGGACCCCAAGATAAGGTACCCCCCTAATTTCGGCATTTAGGCAGTTTGTAAGAACTTCTACCGTAATGGCCCTCAAACCTGAACCCCAGCCATCCACAACCAAGACTGTCGCCCCTGATCTCTCCGGCCTTTTCGGGGGAATCCAAATTCCGATGGGTTTTACGACTTTTGATTTTAAGTTAGGGGTTAAGGTTTCTTTGGTTTGATAGAAATTTAGGGTTGAGGAATCGCGGTTTAGATTAATGTTAAGGGCGTTGGTTCGGCTGCGACTTCTGGAATTTCTAGGCCTGAGCCTAGCCCCTTCAGTTGCGAACGGGGTCGGAATAAGTTGTAACAACATCCTCTTACGGGCCCCTCATAACAGTCCCTTTACAGCTATACGCTGCGATCCCCCTAAACCCTAAACTCTACTACAGCACCACCCTCCACCCAGGTCCTTCTGTGTGAGGACTGCTGGGGTGAATGATCGCTGCAAGTATCGGGGGGTCAGTGGCCAGGGTTTGGGGGTTTAGGGATCACGCAGGCTTTAGGTTCAGGGTTTCGGGTCTAGGTTTCCTGTAGTCTCCTTTTTTTTATTGTTTTCATATAAGACCCAGAATTTTAAAGATAGTATTTGTATGATGGTTCTAAGGGGGGTCTAGGTTCGAGTCACGGGCTTTGGACTTGCATTTTGCTGGCTGTCGAAGCCCACGACTCCCTGGGAGTTTCCGAAAATTCGGGGTAGCTTACTTTGGGGTCAGGGTTTTGAGTTTCCGAAAATAGGGGTACCTTATTTTGGGGTCCTTAAAATGGGGATCCTACTATTTAGGCTACTATATTGGGGTCCCCTATTTTCGGGGACTCCCAAATTTACAAATATCACCTCTATGAAATAAGACCTAGTTCGGGCCATTTGGAGTCCTAGGGTAAAGAGTCTAAGAGTTGCAGTTGCAAGGATTTGTCGCTTCAATCTCACATTCCTTGGGAACTGCATTCGGAATTCAGCTTATCCAGGAGACTGGGCCAATTGAAGCTTCACTCCGTCGCTTTTCTTGTTACACTTGGACGTGCAGCATTAACATATGGTTGTCAAAATGATGGTCCCTTTGTGGGTCCTTGTTATAATACGGCACTTAATATTTAGGGTACCCAACACTGAACCTTAATTTTGACAACTACCTATATATGCACCCTGCTATTGGTGTTGCCGTTTCCTTTGTTGCCGTTGCTGTCTCCATTCCCTAAGGCTCCATGTACCCATATAGTATATACTTAGGCCTTAAAGTACCTATATAGGGACCCCTTTAAGGCCTAAGCTTCTACTATAGAGGTACATGGAGCCCTTTGGTTACAGGCCGAACCTCCCTAAGCCCCTACACGTAAACCCGATTTGGGATCCCCTAGCATGGCTATAGTGCAGCCGCAAAGCCTATTCTAACGACTAAGGCCTCTGCATTACACCCAGAGACTCCAAGAACCCTGAATTAAGGAATATGCCTCAAATCATACTAAAGATCCCGATTATAATTCAAGGCATATTCCTTAACCAAGGGATACTGGAGTCTCTGGGCACCCCAGACTCTGAACGCCCAAAGTCTTAGACCCTATTGTCTCCAGCGCCTCTGGATTGCTTTAGGCTTAAGGGTCCGTGTCACCCTCTTGCACCCGATACCTCCCGAAGTTCCAGAGGCCTTTCATCTCAGTCGCAGCTTGAGTATGTTCTTTCATACATAATCTTATGTGTATACATATATGTATATATATACACATACATATATACATATATACATATACATATATATACACATGTACATATACACATATATATATATATATATATATATATATTATATATATATATATATATATATATATAATATATATATATATGTGATATATATATATATATATATATATATGTGATATATATATATATATATATATATATATATGATATATGATATATGATACAAACACCATGTATATACATATTTTATGTAACTCTCTATATATATATATATGTATATATATCTATCTATCTATCTCTCTCTCTCTCTCTCTCTCTCTTTCTCTCTCTCGACAGTTCCTCGTCTTCAGAGTTGCGCAGCAGTGAGGACCAGGTGACCAATCGGTTGCTTCGAGCCCCCGGGGTCGGTGGTGCGAGTATGCTGCTTGGCAGGGCATTCCCCAAAGGGTCCTAAGTACATGTACGGTAGAATGTAGGGTTTCTATATTCGGAATTAGAATCATGATTGGCGGAAGTATTCATAACAGTACCTAGGGCCCTTGGTGTTCAGCGTTCGGGGATCATAGTGCATGTGAGTCTTACGTGTCCATGTGTGTCTGCGTCTCTGTGCTAGCTGCTCAGTTGGTTATGTACTACTGTACCCATCGACAGCCTTCGTGTCTATGATGCGTCTCCTGATGCCTTTCGTGTGGTTCGCACCTTTTCATGACATGCGGCGACCCAAAACCCATAACCTCGAAGACCCTATAGAGCTAAAACCTCAAGCAATAAACTACAAGACCTTACTCCCCAAAGCTATACAAAAGACTAGAGTGTTTGGGCTTCTTCATGGGTTCGATGGGGCCTCATAAGGGATGTACAGTGGTTCCATTTTAGTGTTTGGGGTTTAGGGTTGGGCTATACCCCCTAAACCTTAAACCCCTAAACCGTATCCTCCCCAGAGACTCCAATATCCCTTAATCAAGGAATATATCTTGAATTTTAGTAGGATCCCTAATATGATTTAAGGTATATTCCTTAATTAAGGGATATTGGAGTCTCTGGGTCATGAAAACCTTAAACCCCTAAACCCTAAACCCTAAACCTTAAACCCCCAAACCGTATCCTCATGAGGTCACCAGACGGAAACTTCCCCGAAGGGCTCCGAGCTTGGTCGGGGTTGGTGGGGGCCGTTGGGGGGTCGTTCTTGAGCTAGGTAGGCCTTTGGGACATTTTTTATTTTCCCTTATTGGGCTTAATAGGACCCTGTTTACGAATATTTTTCAGAGGCTTTAAAGGGCCAACCTAGTGAGGGGGTTTAGGGTTTGGGGTTGTAGGAACTAGGCTTGAGGGTCTCGTGTTTAAGGGCAGGGTTTCGGAGGTGGGCTTAGACTGCTGGCGTCCCAAGTGGATTTAGGCTTTGGGATTTAAGATGTACTCAGGGTGTAGTAATTCCGGCTTGATTAAGGATATTGGTTGAAGGCAGTGCCCTGGGTTCAGCGGTTCAAGGTTGTCGGTTTGGGTCGATGGTTTGGAGTTTCATTCTTTTACATGGCAGCGGGGTGAGGGGATCCAGTGCTGGCTTCGGATCACGGCTTTTGAAAGGTCTCGGGTGCAGGGGCTGATTGGAAGACATCTTATGAGGATAGCAGACGTGAGCCCTAAACCCTAAAACCGTAACAGGTTACCGACGTCTCTGCATGCGCTTTTCTGTCTTTGACAGGGTCAACACCCTTTAGGTTGTGAGGTGTGGGATCATCATTCACTCATATCCACTCTCTCCACGGGGTTGCAGCTGCACGTAGGGCGTTGGACAGGCGCGCATTTAAAATAGAAGATTGGATTTGAAGGGGCTGGTAGCAAGACCAAGTATATGAGACGGTCGAATTTTCCTGTTTCAGTCCGTAGACATGTGCTGTTTTAGGGTCGCGACCTGGACGGCATGCTGCAAGGTTTAGCTTTCAAACTGTCACATCGACTTGCACCGAACCCGCAAACCTATTGAACCTAAATCTAATTCCCTACCGCTTTAATTGAGCTGAAGCCATATTCTCTACATACTGCCCCCTGCCCGCAACTAACCCCCGATGGCACAACATGGCGCAACATACCTGGAAACAGTGGGCTGGGAGCTCCAGACGAGCTGTAGGGTTTAGGATTAATTACCTTGAACTTCTACACTCTATGCCTTAAACCCTAAACGTATTAGCCAAGTAGAAGTCCCTCATGGGCGCCTGCCAGCAAACTTGTGTTATGGTGTAGAGTGTGGGGGTTTAGGGTTATCAAGCTGTCGGGAGCCAACTCAGAAACCCTACGACCTTCAGGCCGGAAACTTAACGACCCTACGACTTATTCCTTAAGATCCAAGCGCAAACACCTAAGCCCCATGCAAGCCCATAAACCGTCGTTGAATGAAAGTTGGTGCTGCCAGGGATCTGCACAACTCTGACCCCAGGCCGTGAAGAGACCCTTGAGGGTTTGAGCGGTTTAAGATTGGGCACTTGAGTGTTCGTGTTGGCTTTCAGGGTTTTGAGTTTGGAGTGTAGATTTTGGGGTCTACAGTTCTGGGTTTAAGGTTCTTTGTTTCATGGGAGCGGAGGAGACTAGGGTGTCTGGGGATTGTTTGCTGTCATACAGTTGCTACGGGTCAGTCAGGTATCGGAGATTGAAAAGGCTACCGTTCGTTTGGGAAAGTCAGTTATCGTAGCTGGGAATGCCGAAGCTCAGCACGGCTTCATAGCTCTGCAACGGGAGATTGTTAGCGCGTCTGAAAGCTGGCTACCAATCCGCTCACTCTGGAATCCATTTCCTTCGCAGAACATAACTGAAGCCCTACATTTAACCCTAAATCGTAAACCCTAAACCCTAACCCTAAAGCTTGAACCCCTAATCCCTGAACCCATAACCCTAAACCTAAATCGTAAACCGTAAAGCCGCCTGAACCCCCAAACTCTGAGCCCCTGTTTTAAACCCAATAGATCCCTCTAAAGGACCGTAAACCCTAAATCCTAACCCTAAACCCTAAACCCTACAGCTCCGTTATAGAACCCTTGTGGATCTCTGTACAGGAACCCTTATCGGACCCTTCAAAGGACCCCTAAATCCTAACTGTGGCGGTCGCCCCGAAGGGCCCACCAAAAACAGAGAAAACGTGGCCGGAAACCAACCCAAACCGCAGGGGCCATGGTTTAGGGTTTAGAGGAAGAATATACTCTTAGATCCCCAATACCTAAGCTTTAAACTTTTGGGCTCTTACTGTTTGGTAGGCATCGGAAAGTTTAACCTTGTATTTCTGTGGCTTATCGGGGTAGCAAGTACTATTTGGGTCCATGACTTCAACGGTTCTATAAGGTAGGTAAGTTTTAAAAGGGTAATTTAAAGGTTTCAGGATGAGGGTGTAAGGGTCTTCGTACCCCAAAAGTATATACTTTGGCCTTAACGTAGTCCCAATTATCGCCTCTTCTCTCAAAGTGTCTACTATTTGAGCACGTGGAACCTTATGGAAAGGGTCCTGAGTACCGAAAGGGATACTTACCCAAACCGTAATAACTCCAAGTATAGAAGCCTTACTTTCTACCATTTCATGCACTTGACCCTTTGGGCAAGTTCAAGTGCATGCTGCATCTTCATGACTCGGCTAGAAACGATGGGTTCTCTCAGCGTTCAGGGTCTCGGGTTTGGGGTTTAGGGTTTGGGGTCAGCCGTATGCCGATGGACAGGCAGGGGTCTGGTAGGCGAGATTTCGCGCTTGTGATCAACTAAGGCCATAGAAAGACAATTATCCCAGGCGGCGGTCCACACATACTACCGCTACAAAACCCAGCCCCCCAAACCACATCCCTAAGCCTTATAAACCCTAAGCCCAAAACATTACAATGATAAGGGTCCCTCTGGGTACTTACTTACAAGTACTCGTAGATTGCATCCCCAGCTCCGGTGGTTTTAGGTCAACCAGCCAGGGCAACTTTACACCCCCCCCAAAACCGCAGGTTTAGGGTTTACAGTCTAGAGTTGAGGGCTTGCAGCCATATGCCCCTAAAGACTGAAGTCTCAAGCGTAAAGCACCGGTGCGAAAGCAGAGCCTAAACCCTCAACCCTCAAGCCCTTTAAGCCCTAATCCCTTAAACCCTCAACCCTAAACGCTTTGCAGCCCTATAGACTATAGATCCTAACACCTTCAAAGCAAGATAGTCACAGTCATAGTACGAGGAACGGTAATAGTCGTAGGTGTATTCATAATATAAATAATAGTAATCGTCATACCCATAGTCATAGTACTACTCTTGGTAATAGTCACAGGTTTACTTAAATCCCTGAACCCTAAAGCCCTAAACCCCTAAGCCCTAAACCCTCTAGATCCCATTTAATTTTAAAGGACTCTCTTGGTATCTCAGATGACACTTTGTCGAGGTTCCAGGTGCGAGAGACACAGATCAATGCCTGGGAATCTTTGGCCGGTGCTATCATCCCCGAATGCGCCTCTTCTTTGTTACAAGGACGGGATGTCGTCTGGTACGTCGACAACCAGTCGGCCTGTCAGGTACTTATGAAGGGCAGCAGCAGCGTCCCTGATCTGGCTATCTTGGCGGCTGTCACGCAACTGCTTTGCGCCAGGCTAGGTTGCAGAGTTTATTTCGAATACATCGAGAGCGACTCCAACCCCTCGGACGGCCTTAGCCGTGATGGGCTAACTGACGCCTGGACGCTGCTGCAAGGGTGGCGCCTTCTTCCAGCTGGCCTGCCTCGACTTTTGACGACTGCTTTTGAGTCTCTTAGCCAAGCTTTGCTTCTCGTCCAGAGACTTTGGGGTTACTTTGGGGTTTTTGTCCGATCCAGTCTTGCATTCGGCATTGTGCCACTGTCTCGGCATTGGGCCGCTGGACGGTTGGTTGTAGGACCCTTGAAAGGAACCCTAAAGCCCTGCTTCAGGCGTTGCCTCGCCTTTGATGCTGCCAAGCGGGATGGCGTTCTCAGCGACGGCTTCGATGGCCCCTGGACGCCGGTTTAGTTTAGGTTCGTTTAGGGTTTAGTTTAGAGTTTAGGGCTTCAGGTTTTAGTTTAGAGTCGGAATGATTAAGAATAGTCTTCCCACAGAAGTCAACATGCAACAGTACGCATGAAATACTCTAGATCCCTGTTGGCAGTTATCAGTGTTGGGCCTCAACAAATCGAACACGGTTTCGAGGCATATTATTTCTATATACACACATTTTATCCACATAAAGAGGAACCCTAGGGAACACTGTGGGAATATTCAGGCCTCTATAGTATTGCACTGTAGCTCTCTTAGCCCTCAACATGAAGAACTCCAATCTGAAGTCCTGACCCCTACGAGTTTTGGGTTCAGGGTTTCTGATCATTGAGGGCTTTCATGAGATGTGTCCTTCACCCCTCCGGAAATCACGCGCAAGCCTGGTGGCCCAAGAAACTTACTTGAAAGGCATTACGGGAATATGCAAGGACAACATAAAAGGGAACCTACTATAGGAGCCTTAACACTTACCTGTACTATTTTGGCGGTTCCTTATTACATTCTCAGTATAATGGGCCTCAAAAGCCTATTCTAATTGTTAAGGCCCCTGTATAATTCTTTGGGCTACTGGTGGAGCCCATGGAGCCCGACCAAACCTACCAGTCCGAGGCTTTGCATCTTCAACCGTAAACCCTAAACCCTAAATCCGGTTTAGGGTTTAGGGTGTAGGGTTAACGGGAACTCCAGAAAGTTGGAATATGGAATAATGGCAGGATCCCCTATAATTTACCATAAAGGGGTTAGGATACTCATATTCCAAGTTTCTGGCTTCTATTGTAGGGTTTAGGGTTTAGAGTTTAGGGCTTCCCGTTCTCATTACCAAGAGCCCCGAGCCCCTCAAGTCAGCCTTTATACCTCATATATATATATATATATGTATATAGATATATTTCGTAACCCAGAGGGTCCGAGTACTCCTTGTTATAGGACTTTAGGGCCTCTTTAGGTATCAAAATCCATAACTTAGGACTAGTTGGACCCTTAGGGTAAGGCTAAGACACCGAGAACTTGCGGGTATATTCAAGTGTTCAAAGAATACAAAGTTCTGGACCGTAAAAAGCTCTGGAACCGTAACCCAGATGGTCTATATATACTACTATCATGGAATTGAGACAGGCCCCAAAAGACCATCCTAAAAATTGCTTTTGGGACCTAGTTCCATAATCGTAGTTTATCTGGACCCTCTTGGTAAAAAACTACAACCCCCAAGAATTCCATAGCCATCGAACCCTCGTTTGCAGCCATCGCCGGCGCGACCTTTGACCCTCGCACGGCCGGCCAAGTTGCTAAGGGAGTCTGGAGTTTACCCATAGGCCCCATAGTAGTTCCATTTGGGGGTTCATATATACAGAATCCTAGAAGGTAATCTCGAAAAGGAACTACTATGGGGCCTCTGGGTAGGCCTTTTTGGGTTTCTTCTACCATCTCCTGATGCGTTTTTGGGTGTGGAAACTGGCTGCGGCTCCGATTGATGTTTGGTAGTTGAAGTGTCGCGGTTATCTTGAGTGCAGGGCTAGCCTTGTTTTGCTAGAATACATCCGAACTGGGTTTAGGGTTGAGGGGTTTAAGGGTTTAGGGTTGAGGAGTTTAAGGCTTTAGGGTTGAGGAGTTTAAGGGTTTAGGGTTGAGGGGTTTAAGGGTTTAGGGTTGAGGGGTTTAAGGGTGTAGGGTTGAGGGGTTTAAGGGTTTAGGGTTTTGCCCTGCAGGGCCCATGAAACCAAATAGGGTTCCTTTAAGGGTACCATAAGGGTTCCTTTCAGGGATCCATAAGGGTTCTATATGTTTAGGGTATAAGGGTCACTGCTCAGACCTACACTACGATTACCATAGGACTTTTTGGGGTTTGCAACGTCCAGCACTGTTTTTTTCGCAAGCTTACGTGAATCGTGTGTAGCAGGCTTCATGCACACCGTTCAGGGTGATGCCCAAATCACCAAGCGGAGCCAATGCTTTCCGTGGTCTTCATTGCATTTCCAACATACACCCGCTTCTGGCTAATACTCAGCAGTACTAGCCTTACAATTCTATGTCCCCTACCAGTACTGTAGAAGCCTGAATAATTACCTATATCGTTGTTTAGGTCTCCTCTTTATATCGCAGTATATGATACCCGAAGCCCTCTTCAATTTTTGTTGAGGCTCCTATCTTATGTGTGTTGCCTCGAAGACCAACGCCCTGAAGCTCTTCCCCAGTTCATGTTGCACTAATGCAGGGGCCGCAACAGTCTTTGTAAGCATTCCGCCTTATATATATATATATATATATATATATTGCATTCTTCTTGCCAGAATGGAGAGATGACGCGGATCTGCTGGAGAAGGTTTGGGAGGACAGAACATCGGATGTTTAGGACTCAGGACATTGCTTCAGGATTCACAGTTCGGGATTCCGGACCCCACTTTCAATGCCTAACCCAAGCACCAACATGGTCCGAAGTCATCGCATGGTGTGGTTCTGAGGCCTGCGGATCACAACTGCGCAAGCGCTACCTATGGCACACCGCCTTACCAGGCAGAGGGTCCAACTCAGAGTGCGAAAATACGTTTTGGCTGAAAGTTTGGCCCTGAGGCTATCGCAGACATTTTATAGCGGTCGTCTTTCCTCAAGAAAGCCCCAGGAATTTGAATAGGGTTTGGGGCCCATTATACTATAATTATATTAAGAACCCTCCAAAAATAGTTTAGTATAGTAGGGTAATTGTGAAGGCCCTCACAGTAAGAAAGCCTCAGGACGACTTTTGCGTCCCTAAACCCTAAACCCTAAACCCAAAGCCTCAGGACGACTTCTGCGTCTCCCAGTTCAACACCTCTCTCATGCTCCCCGGCAGCCAGCTGCCTCGCATCGTGTTTCCCTGGCCACGTGCCAAAGGGATTTCCATTATGGTTTGGGTAAGTGTCCCCCATATCCAAACACATATATATATATATATATATATATATATATATATATATTTAAGATCTCCAAAAATAGGGGACCCTGACATAGCACCCCAAATAGTAGGAGCCTTATCATAAGGTCCCCACGATAAGGTCCCCCTGGTTTTCGGAAACTTATATATATATATATATATATATACAGACACGCACGTACTTAGGAGCCTCTAGGTTTGTTGTGTCCTGAATCCGCACGTGCCTCAACCTGATGGAGCTCAGAGGGAAGCATCGAACTGGAAATCCGGTCATTGTTCCCTTTGGAGGAGGAAGTAGGAACACGTAGCTGATGGGCATCCGCTGCTTTCGAGCAGTCGAAGTAGTACTAGTCATCATGGGAGTGGGAGTGCACATGGGAGTAAGAGTGCGACTCGTAGTACTGGCAGTCTTCAGTCGTCGTAGTGGTAGCTGTAGTGGTGCCGGTAGCGGTAGTGGCGTTGGTGGTAGTACTATACATAGTAGTCCTCGGCGTAGGAGGTGGAGAGCAGGAATCGGAGTAGGAGTGGGGCAGGCATAGGAGCAGGATCAGGAGTGGGAAGGGGAAGAGGAGTCACCCCCAACCTCCCCAGTGTTTGTTTAGCCTTGATTTTTGGCCGCAAGGTGGTGCGCCGAAGCAGGGTCATCAGCATCCGTCCATCACGGATCTTTCTTCAGCCGTCGTTGCAATGCCAAGCCCGAACCACCAAAAGCATGAAGAACAGCTGGTTCGTTGTTGCACAGAATGGAGTCCACCCGGAACCCTAAACACTTTTGTGGCAAGCTCAGGCTTTTCCCTACCCCGGTCAACAATACTTTCGTGGGCTTCTCAGAGTCCCCGGGCTGTGCTGTCTGGGTTAACTGGGCTTTGAAGTACAATACTTTAATACTTTTTTGGGACCTGGTACTTAAAGGGAACCAAGTACTCAACAAAGTCTATACTTTTTTCTCCCTGGTTACTTCGAAGCCGAGTTAAGGGGTTAGAGACGGCCAGAGTTTAGGATGTACCTGAACCTGCCAACAGCTTTTGCAGTGATCATCATTCTTATTAGCTTTCCGTATGCATCTTAATGACCTGTATTGGGGTTTGCATTGGCTGTTGACTTCTTCCCGCCTAGTTTCGGATTTCCATCAATTTCAGGGTTCTTTGATAGCTAGAGGCCGACTTGCTGGCACCTATAAAGACTTGGTTCTGCAGGATCTTATCGTCACAACTTGTTTCCTAGATCTGTGCACACCTACCAGTATGTGGAGGCTTCGCATCTGGAGCTACGTCGTAGCGGTACATGTCGTTGAGGGTCGCTGCAGAAGAAATCCTTTAAGACCTCCTTGAAGAAAAGAAGCAGGGTGTGGGCGAGCAAGAAGTTCTAGGCCTTCCAAAAGTCAAGCAGGTGCTGGAGAATCTGAACCAGTCGTTTACGTAGGTGCCAACATTCGGCCGACCCGAAACTGCCCCAAGCCCTGGACCCAAACCCTCGCAAGTTCGGGACCCCAAAAGCACAATCCCTACTTTGTTGGGCTTCCTTTTAAGGGGTTTATTATATGGGATATCCCTATCATTATTTTTGCTTATGTGATTTTTTGGGGCCTTCGCAAGGCATGGATGCACTTCTTGCCTTTTCTCTCTCGCCTCAACAAACTTACACAAACCACGATGCCAGTTCCCGAAACAGAAACTACGTCGTATTGCACAGGTACCTAGCACCTCTTTGGGTTTTGGTACTGGGACCCTGAGACGCGACAAGGGACTGTGATTCAGAAGACCTCTGCGATCGGGTTTCGGGGTTGAGGCGGTCTTTCCCAAAGGGTCCAAAGGACCTGTATAGCAGAATGTGGGGGTTTCTATATGGTTGAGGTGCTTTTTTTCACTAGTAGTTTGGGCTGCTTCAAGGTTTGCTTTACGTGGCAGGCGTGGTTCTATATTGATTAGGAGTTACTATTATGATTTGGGGAAGTAATCCCCTAATAGCAATACCTATGACCCTTTGGGTTCAGAGCGAGGATTATCGGACAAAGCACACACACACACATGACATGTTGAAGAGAACCTGAACCCCTTGGCTCTCCCGAACCCTAAACTCTCAACCCCCATGTACTGGAAGCCACTGCAACAAGTTCTGAAGCTTAAACCTCGGTACCCTAAACCCCATTGAGCCATAAACTCTTGAGCCCTAAACCTTGAACCCTACAACCGATACCTCATACCTTCTATTCTACGAAGAGTCGAAAAGCACCACAGATCACCGGCTGGCGCTACGACTCCAAGCGCAGTGGCACCGGCAACATCCAGATCGCTGGTAACCAGGCAGCCACCCGAAACCCTGCCGTTTCAAACAGGGGCTTGGATGATTAGAATGGATGTTTGGGTATGCTTTGGTATCCCTAAGGGTGCAGGTGCCTACATAGTATACAATGCTTGGGTCCTACAGTACCGAAACAGGGTTTATATACTTTACGGCTCAAGTATATTAATACTATGTGAGTGAGTACATAGACCGTAAGGGTATGATTCTAGTAAGGTGCCCAAAGGATTGATACTGGTAACTATCCCGGCTTGTAGATCGTGGCTTGCGGGTTCGGGGCTTAAGAGTTTAACTACTCTGCTAGTCTTGGCAGGATCCCGGACGCCCTAAATTATGCAAATGCGCAAGTTTTTGGCCTGTGAATGTTGAACGCTGAAGCTCGGAATTCCGTTAGCTGAGCTTCCGACGACTCCGGTTTTGAGTGATAGATCAGGCTTTAGGGTTCATGTAGGGTTTAGGGTTCAGGGTGCAGTGCTTGAAGGTGACGATTGCAAAGGTTTAGGTGTTGCCTTGTGGATTTTTGGCCCCAACCCTAAACCCTATACCCTAAACCCTAACCCCGAGTCGCCAAACCGTAAAGCCCGAAGCAGAAATATCTCAGCTCCAACTTCCGCAAGATGGAACTCTAAACCTGAGGGTTTAGGGTTTAGGGTTTGGGGTTTAGGGTTTAGGGTTTGGGGTTTAGGGTTTAGGGTGTTGTGTCGCACTGTTATTAACACTTGCATTGGTGACGTTCATGGTGTCTTATTTACCATATCGGCAGTAGATTACTGGTAACAATACCACATTGTATTGTGTTTCTTATGAAGGTAAACCTCTGCATTCCGCCAGTTTACCATGCTTTCACCCGCCCCCCCGCTCCGCCCACAAGATCCGGTTCTATGTGTTAAGGCCCCAATATTCGGGGTTCGGCATTTAAGAGTTGGAGCGGCTTAAGGGTGACTGTTTAGGGTTCAGGGCTGTTGCTATCATCCAGCTATGCCAGGCTTTTGTGTGTTGATCGTTTCCTGAGATGTAAAACCCTAAACTCCTAAACCCTGAACCCCTGAAATTGGTTTTGTCTGGTCTTTGTCTCCCCTGTTGGCCCTTTTTCTTTCCTTGTGGCCTGTGGCTCCTTCTAACGCTACGATAGGGGCCTCAATAACTACCTGTACTATTTTGGGGGCTCTTTATGATAGTTATAGTATAATATTGGGCCCCAAAACGCTATTCTAGTTATTAAGGCCCCCATATTGCATAATGGAGCCCCTCATGAGCCCCACACTGGGTAGACTCGCTCTCTTCAAACCGCATCTGTGAACAGTTTCGTCTTTGGGTTCATAAAGGCATTTGTCTCTGAATCGGTGGCCCTTCCATCCTATGGCCTGAAGTTCCGTGGTATAACCTTTCTATCAGGCACCTCAGAACAGAGTTCGATTTATGGAGACAATTATGTAACGCACTTTCGCTCGAAATGCCCATGCGACTGAGAAGGCTCTGCTCCGGATCGAGCGCCGAAGCCCCTAACCTTCGCCCTCAGAAGGTGGGACACTGAAGGTAGTCAAGATTACCCTCAGGCTCTCTGTACCTGTAAAGTATGTACATCGGCCTATGTAGGAACGCCGTTAGAGCCTAAGTATAGGCATGTATGTAATCTGTATATATATATATATACACACACATACATATATGTGGGAGTTCGAAAACAGGGAACCCAAATGTAGTACCCAAAATAGTAGGATCGTTACTACAAGGACCCCAAAACAGGGTACCCCAATTTTCGGAAACTCCCACATGTATGCACATGGAGTCTTAGCTGGTTGAAGGATCTCTCATCTTCTCGAGTTTCAATGTAAGTCTTGGCTCAGTAGTTGGCTCGACATTGGCTGTCCGATGTGTCTATTCCTACTCCCTAAACAGTCACACCCGAAATGCTGAGATCTTCTATTCCGGGTTGCATTATTCGAGAAGAAATTTGCTGTGATATTAGACGATAGCTTGCCAGACGTCTATTCGTAGTTGCCCTGTCTTTGCCAACATGAAGCGTGGACGCTCCCCAGAAGCCGCGGATGGATTTGTACATGTCTGGAAGGCATCGGGAGAGAAAGTCGCTTCGATACCCATGGAGGATTTAGTCGACGTGAGGAGTCTGAAGCAGGACCTGGGCAGACGCTGTGGGCTCCCCCGCTTTAGACAGAGACTGCTCAGACATGGCCGGATTCTGCCAGAGGAGGAGACACTGGAATCTCCCGGCGACGTTCAACTTGTCCTTCTGCCTTTCTGCTCTGTACGTGATGAAGAGATTCGACAGTTCATCGGCCTTTCTGCGGCTGGGCGTGCCACAGAAGTTGAAGCGAAGCTTCAACTTCCGCTGGATCCGAACTGTCGAGCCAATGGTCTACATGCGCTTCTCTCCGCGTCTGACGGTGGACATCCGCATGTTGTGCAGTTGCTGCTTGAAGCAAGGGCTGACGCCGATGTAGCAGGAAACCAGGGCATGACACCTTTGATATCTGCATCTGCACATGGCCACGTCGATGTTGTGCGTATGTTGTTGGAGGCTGGGGCTCGGAAAGATGCGGCGAACTTCCAAGGGAAGACAGCTCTCCTCTTTGCAGCACTGAATAGAAACTAGGATGCCCAGTAGTACCCTTATTCCCTTTTTGTAGTCCTAGGTTCCTTTTCAAGTTACCCAATACCAGAAAGAGAGGCCTTTTTATTCTTAGGTTACTGGGTATCCTAGGAAAGCTGGAGACGGTAACCTTGCTTCTTGAGTTCGGTGCCAACAAGAACTGCGCAGATATTGAAGGCATTACCCCCCTGATTACAGCAGCTCGCAGTGGCCACTTGGGGATTGCCCGACGCTTGACGGATGCCAGAGCAGATATGCACATGGCAGACAGGATCGGCTGGAATGCTTTTGTTTGGGCTGCATCCGCAGGCCACAAGGAGATGGTGAGTTTCTTGGCGGAGGCCGGAGTGGATGCAGACATGGTAGGCAGGCACGGTGACGCGGCTTTTTGGTGGGCCTGTTCGGCAGGTAAGCAGGACGTGGCGGAGCTGCTTCTTGAATTTGGGGTGGACAAGAACTCGTGCGACAGTGATGGTGACTCTGCTCTACATGCAGCAACCGGGAGTGGTCATGCCCATGTCGCGCGCTTGTTGCTCAATGCTGGGGTCGATAAGAACCATGCCAATTCAAGGGGGCAGACTGCCTTGCATATGCCAGCAGCCAGTGGCAACCTTGCTATCCTGCGCTTGCTTCTGAATGCCGGTGCCGACAAGAATGCCGCCGCCACTGGGACGGTTTAAGCCTCCAACCGATCTTCGGAACTGTGGAGTACAGGGTGATTATAATTATGGGCTTTCTGAGCCCCCAAACCCTTAAGCCCCCAACCCCTGAACACTGATCCTTGAAGTCCTCAGGCTTTGAATCCTAAACCCTAAACCCGCAAACTCTCCAACCCTGAGCCTCCAAACCTCCCGGCTCTCAAGCTCGGTTTAGGGTTTAGGGTTTAGGGTTTAGGGTTTCGAAGCTCAGGACATCTCCGGAGCAACGCCTTTCCAGGTGGCCTCCTCCAGGGCAGCGAAGGACTTGCTCTCGCAGGTTGACCCGCGACGGCCAAAAGACGTCCTATTCGGGGTGTTGGGGGTTCAGGGTCTCAGGGGTTAAGGGTTCAGGGGTTTAGGTTTAGGGGTTTCACGGGGGCTTGAAGGCACCAACCTTCACAAAACAGCGCGTGCTTTCTGGAGGGGGCCTATTGGGCGGGATAAGCTGGGATTATGATGTCTCGGGGTTCCCGAATACAGCTATCGTTCAGAAATCCGCAAAACCCCAGTCTAAACCCTATAAACCCCAAACCTTAACCTCAACCCTAAACCCCTACAGTAAACTCTAAACCCCTCAACCGTAAACCCCAAAATCCCAAAACCCTAAACCCTAAACGCCAATGCCAGGAGCAGGGTGTCCCGTTGGAGCTGCACATCGTCGGGGTCGTGGACTCGGCGTACATGAGGAAAGTTGTGTAGGTTTAGGGCTTAAACTAGCACGCACATTTCCAACAGTCGTCTTCCACATGTACACCCTAAGCACCATGAGTTTCAGCCCTCAGGGACTCGAGCACGAAACCTCCCCGAAAAGGCCGAAGGGGTGCAGGCTGGACTTTCACCCATTCTTGGAGGGAAGGCACCATTCTGTACGGCGACTTATACTTGGCATTGGATTAACTATGCATTGCGCGTATCTTGGAGACTCCGTGCTAAGTCCATCATGCGCAAAGAAAGCCGCATTTCCTGAACCACTAATTATAGTTCAACATCTTAATCCCTGAACGGCTGATGTAATTAAACTATTTAATTAAGTCAAACCCTCAACCCTCAGTAAGCGAAACCAACTAATCCCGAAAGTCTGCACAGCGATCCGCTTGAGTACGTAGACAAATGTTATCAGATGTGGTGCTAAATTGTATAGTCTGAACCCTAAACCCTCAACCCTAAACCCTGAACCCTAAACCCTAAACCCTAACCCTAAACCCTAAACCCTAAACCTGAAACCATAGTTCAGGAGCTCATAGGATAACATCGAATTCAGACTTCCAGGCTAAGTTAGTTTAGAGTTTGAGCCCATGCTAGTTGCAGTCTTCGAGATAGAGAAGGAAGGCAAAGGGCGTATGAGTTAGGGATTAGGATTATAGGGTTTAGGGGTGTAGGGTTGAGGGGTTTAGGGGTGTAGGGTTAGGGGTTTGGAGGTTCAGGGTTTAGGGTTTTTGTCGGTGTATTCCGGACCTGGTGCTTGGTGGTATGATTCCCTCACAGCATGTTCCATGTCATTGCTGGGGCCCTGATTCGGGAGTTCCGTGTCCAGTCAACAACACTCTCATGACCGCTCCTTCGAACCATGGCTAAGATACAGGGCCCGAGCACAGGCCCAGCATAGTAGGGTCCATATCAATGTTATACCGTTATACCCTTGTAGAGCCCTGAAGAAAGCCTTAAAGCGCTAAAGCCCTAAACCATAAACCAAACCGCGAGGTCATTCCGACAAAGTGGGCCCGCTACTTCAACGTCAAATTTATCCTGAACGGTCTGCTGCCTCAGAACAATCTTCTTCGGGAGTGTAGCGCTCAGATCACGGCTTAACGGCTTTTTGGTGTACCCTTGCCTGCTGTTTGAATTCCGTGTCAGCGTCTTTCAATGTCGGGACTAGAATTAGCCCCTGAACCGTGTAGTGACTCTTACAGCATCCCAGGATGCAGTACTGTAGAGAAGCAGGCTTTGTGGTTCTGGATGCAAAGAAGCAAGGCAGCGCGTCAGACACTTCAGAAGGGACACGAGGATCTGAAGCCCTTCGAGACGAGTTGCACTCTGAGTGCAGGCAGCATACCACTGCCGCTCTACCAGCCGGAGGTGGTCGATGTCACGGCGCAACATGGCTGATATGATGACATGGTCTTTTCTTCCTGGGCTCTTCTGAAGAACATAGCGGAAACAACGATTTTACTGACTACATGTACCAGCTGGATATCCAATCAACTGTGCTCACGCAGCGTTTAGGGTCCACATGCTGAACATGTGTTCCCTGAATTTCCCTGACTTCCCTGAATTCAGAGGCGGGCTGCTGTCAAAAGTTAAAGTCTCCAGTGAAACCAGACATTACTATCACGACACCTGATGAGTAAACACAGATTGGAAGACCGGGTGCCGCAGCAAGTAGCTGCATGATGCTGCATGTGTATTTTGCATGAAGCATGAAAAGTATTCAGGCAGAAATGGATTCCTTTCTATCTGGGTTCTCTTTAAGCACTCAGAATAGTTTAGGTTACCGTAATCAAGAAGCCACATCATCATTTACTATGAACCCCATTAGGATAACTTACATTTCATTCCTTAGCCTGAACGCAGATATTCAGCCTTGCCCCTCTGCCTTCTGCGTATGAGGCCAAGGCTTACCTACCTGGGGATGCAAAAAACCACTGTTTGAGGGGTTAGACCCTCTAACTAAGACCCGTAGCCACAATTTTGTAGGGTTTGTGGATACCAGTGTTTCCAGGGAAGGGCAGGAAAGGAGTCCAACCTTTCATTCCTAGCAGCTGGAATCGACTGTGGATATTAAAGCCCTACAAACCAAAAGCCTCGAAACACTTCAACTCCAAAGCCCATTCGGAACAACATCATCACCAGATCCCCAAGATCTTGACTAAGGGATACATGCGGCCTGTGGTTTGATGCTGGCCCGGTTGTGCTTTGAACAGGATGCTGATACGGGACTGGGAGTGTTAACAGGGTCCTACAAGTAGATACCGCGCCAAATACTATTGTAAAGGGGCTCACCGTTCCGACAATACTGCTGATGGACAAAATCCTGCATGACCCATTATAAGAAATACCATAGTTCCCATATTTTGGAGTCCTTACGGTCATGCAGGATTTTGTCCGTCAGCAGTACGAACGGTATATCTTAAGCCCGAAACACGCATCTTTGATCCTGCATGACAAACCAGATGGGAGTTTCCGAAAATTTGGGGGTACCCTATTTTGGGGGTCCTTATGATCAGGATCCTACTATTTAGGGTACAATATCAGGGTCCCCTATTTTCGGAATCTCCCAAATCGCTCCAGGCCTCTCTGGGTAATGAAGACGCAGGCAGGCCCCTGAGTTTCAAACTGGGAGAGAAGAAGTCCAAAAGAAATCACCACCGGTCACCTGCCCTACACCCTCACCCCTTAGAAGCCCCAAGGCTCTAAAGCCCTGAAGCCCTAAATCCTGAACACCCCAGGGAATTCACGGAGAACTTGAATGTCAGCCTGGGCATTTTCGGGATCCGACAGAAGGAAGGCGGCTTGAATGCGCCGACCCTGGGGGGTGCACTGCGTGTTTGAGGGTTTCGAAATCCGTGTGTATGAAAATCTAACTGCAAGGGATCATTGAACATAGTGTTTTCGTTGTGGGTGTAAGCGGCTTGTAGTATAGAGGATTCAGGTCTTCGGTTTAGGGATTCAATGTGGGCGTTGATTATGGTTCTGGTGATGGTTTTAAGTTGCAGGTTCATGGTGGGTATATTTCCAGCCGGCCAGTATCGTAGCGGGGGCCATTGCCAACCCCAAACTCTAAACCTACAGCCCTAATCCCTGAAACTTTAACCCGCGAATCCCAAGCCCGAAACCCGTAACTACTTACTAGAATCTGGAAGTTGGGTTCCCCTGCTTCTTGACTCTAAACCCGAAACCTTGCATCTTCGTAAACACGAACAAGCAAGTAAGGTTCCGAAAAGGCTATTCCTAATGATCTGGGCTTTGGAGTACCATATACTTTAATACTTTTTTGGGACCTGGTACTTAAAGGGAACCGATTATGAAAGCACAAGTCTATACTATTTTGTCCACGGTTACTTCACAGCCCAGTGATTCAGGTGCAGGGTGAAGGCTGAGGGTTGCCTATCAAAGGGATCCTTAGGGGTGTAGGGGACTCTATTTCCTTAAGTAGGCCTTCTTAGTCCTTATTATGGGCCTTAAGGCCCCCTACCCCCCTACCCCCCTACCCCCCTCCCCCCTACACCCCTTAAGGATCCGTATGAGTCTAGGGCCTTGAAGCACAGGCTCCAGGGGCTAGGGTTCAAATTTCGCCTGTAGCCCAGAAATCTGTTTGCTTAGGGTTCCATACTACTGTTGATGATATAAATCCTGCATTACCTTAAGGACCCTAAACTATGGAAATAATGGCATATTCCTTATTATGGGTAGTGCAGGATTTATATCATCAACCGTATGGTTTGTGAGAAAAGTAGGTTTGGGGGCTACAGGTACTGTAGGGTTTAAGGCCCTGAAGTGTGTAAAGGGTTCAATACAGTGACACATCGGGTCTGCCTTCAGCAGAAGAATGTTTTCGTGATCTAGCCGTTTCTTTGCTACAGCCATACAGCACCCCCGTGATTCAACAGACGGAGTAACCTGCACAGCGGCTACTTTGATTCTATATCTGTTTTTTAAGTATACGATATTACCATACCCTAAGGGCCCATGTACCCATAGAGAGATACATGGGCCCCAAGTGTGTATACTATATGAGTACATGGACCCTTAGGGATAGGACCCTAAATCATACAGCTGGTTCGACCAAGAAGGAACTACAAGGGCCTAAACCCCTAAACCCTAAACCCTAAACCGGGAGAGGGTTCTTTGTGTTCTGGTGTAAGCCTCCCTGAGGCAGGCCCTGAGACCTGCAGCCATGCGGAGAAAGAGCCACTGCACCTTAAAAAAAAAGAACCGGGATACTGTAGGTGTATCGCCCCCTCCCCCCCTGCCCGGAACCTAAGAACCCAGATCCGAAACAGAGCTACAACAAGTCCCTAAATCCTATAAACCCTAGCGTTTCGGGTTCAGGTTTTAGGGTATTTGGGGTTCAGGGTTTAGGGTCCTAGCCCAAAGCCTCCAAACCCGATTTGGGTGGTTGTCAAGATTATGGTTCCTTTTTGGGTACCCTAAATATTGGGGGCCGTATTATATTAAGGACCCAAAAAGAGACCCTAGTTTTGACAACCCCCCATTTGCTACTTCGAGGGTCGGGGGACTTAGTAGGTAGGTAAGAAGTAGACTTATAAAGTACCCTAACAGGGATCCTAATTGGGGTTAGGCTACTTATAAGTCTATACAATAAGTACTTACTAAGTCCCCCGACCCTCCAAGTAACCAAACCCAAGATGGGCATCCTGGACTATCTGCCGATCTGCTTGGACCCGCCTGTGGAGGCCGCAGCCTGCATCTGGTTTAGGGTCTACCTATAGTCTCCATTGTAGTTCCTTTTTTTGGTTAACCAGTTTTATGGTCAGGATCCTATAATAGAGGTTTTGGTTAACCAAAAAAAGGAACTACAATGGAGACTATAGGTAGGGTTTAGGGTGTAGGGTCCTCAAGGTTTAGGGTTTAGGGTGTAGGGTCTAGAGGGTTTAGGGTGTATAGGGTCTATAAGGCTTAGGGTTTGGCGCGTAGGGTCTGAGGTTTAAGGCTTCGGATTTTTAAGCGGTTTTGGGTTTAGGGTGTAGGATCTAAGGTTTAAGGCTTCGGGTTTTTAGGGTTTAGGGTTTTGTGTTTAGGGTTTGCGGTTGAGCTGAAGCCCCCGCGGCTGCGCGGCAAGGAATTACCTACCCATAGGGTCACGTCCTACCTCTCTTAATGTACCTGCTTCTCTATCTAACAGATCCTAACCATAAAGCTAGATACCTTGAAATAGGGGTAGAGCATGACATGGTATGACCCTTTAGGTGGAGGGTCTGAGTATAGAAATAGAAGTGTTGCAGGCCTCCCAAACTAGGATGCCCGGTAGTACCCTTATTCCTTTTCTGTAGTCCTAGGTTCCTTATAAAGTTACCCAATACCAAAAAGAGAGGCCTTTTTATTCTTAGGTTACTGGGTATCCTAGCAAATCATGCCCCGAATCCCCCCGAACTGCTGTTTGAGAAAGGGGCCTCCAGTCATGGGATTCAGGGGCGCAGGGTCCTACCCAGAGCCTCCAAAACCCCTGAATTAAGGAATATACCTTAAATCATATTAGGGATCCTACTTTAATTTAAGGTACATTCCTTAATTAAGGGGTTTTGGAGGCTCTGGGTATGTAGCCGCCACAATGGAGTAAATGAATCTCGGGTTGTCATATTAGTATAGCTATCGTCAGGAAACTCGAGGAATAGTATCTGCGATTATTCAGACTTCTACACTGGAGCTGCAAGGCTTTCGGAGTTCCAGGTGCTTATGATTCAGGCTGTAGGGTTCAGGGTTTGTGGTGTTTTTCCTTGCATCCACAGTTTCACGGCAGACTTCTTCTTTCAAGGAGCGAGTCATCCTTAGTCTGCCTGTATCTTTACATGCGAGTTTCCGAAAATTAGGGGTACCTTGTTTGGGGGTCCTTATACTAAGGATCCTGCTATTTAGGGTACTATACAAGGGTCCCCGAATTTCTGAAACTCCCAATATGAACCCTTATAGAGCCCTTAAAAGGAACCCTTATAGTACCCTGATAGTAGCCTCCTTTAAAGGAGCCCTTTGGTTGGGAGGTCTTAGGTTCAGGTTCCCTGCTTGAAGGCTCATGGGACTTAGTAAGTAAGGTTATAAGTAGGTTATAATTAGGATAACCCCACTTAGGGGACTTATAACCCCAGTTATAACCTACTTACTAAGTCCCATGATCCTCTAAGTAAGCTCCCAAGTCCTGCTAAGCTCCACAGGATCCGCCCTGATGATCTGACGAACAGGAGTTCTCTTAGTTTTCCCAGAGCCTCCAAAACCCCTTAATTAAGGAATATGCCTTAAATTATAGTAGGATCCCTAATATGATTTAAGGTATATTCCTTAATTAAGGGGTTTTGGAGGCTCTGGGTTGTTCAGGGCACATCATGGATTCAGGGTTTGGGGTTTTTGGTTTAGGGTTTTGGGTTTAGGGTTCAGGGTTTAGGGATTTTGGGTTTCGAGTTTAGGGTTTTGGGTTTTGGGTTTAGGCAGGGATTCAACTAATTCAGATACCAACCATGGTTTGCCACACAGACACTGTTCCGAGTCGCAGGACACCAATCCTTTCCAGGCCTACGTAAGGGTTCAAAAACCTTAAAATCACACACTCGAGGCTCGCATCACAGAAGCCTGAACCCTGAACCGTAAATTCTAAGCTACCAAATGAGTGGGCAGGGATACCGTTGTTGGAGGGTTTGGGGTGCCTCAACGCAAATGGTGGCAGTCCTTTCTCAATTCCCACATGTCGTTCATGACACACAGAGACTAGGATGCCCAGTAGTACCCTTATTCCCTTTTTGTAGTCCTAGGTTCCTTAAAAAGTTACCCAATACCAAAAAGAGAGGCCTTTTTATTCTTAGGTTACTGGGTATCCTAGTCGTTCATGACAGACGGAGACCATCCCAAACCCCACACGCCGGAACCTGCGAACTGTCGGCTGGCAGGCTCGCGGCTGCTTCAGGCCTCTTCTGCATGGAAGTGCAGAGAAGCTGTGTTGTTGTAAGGGCCTAAGTAAGCATGGACGGAGTTTTCCAAGTCGTATGCAGGCTCACCCACCGTATCTTCGACGATGGGAAGTGGAATGAGTGCCCTTGCCCACGTAGACGGATGGATCACAAATTGGAACCACATGGACTCGAGACAGGAGAACCGGACCAAAGGACAACTGAAGCTCGATTTCCGAATGAGCTTGAGCTTCACCACCCAAGTGAGCCCGTACTGCCTCCTGCCTCATGATCTTATACCTTGGATGCTGCCTTTGTTTATTCATGGATGTAGATACAGCTCTTTTGTATCCGGGTTTTGTACGACTTCAATCCCATTGTGCATTGGCCGTAAATGCAGCATAGAATCTGGAGGACCTCCAGTCATCCTAAGCCTTACCCTAAGGGTCCACAGGACCCAATAATTAGGTACTTGGGTTTAGGATATGTTAGGGTCCCCAATTATCGGAAACCCCCATATGATAGGTACTTGGAACCCTCCGGGTTCCTGCCAGGTACAACTTCAAGGACCTCATGTGGTGGCGGCGGAACACGGTTCGAGAGGCCCGGGATCGACCAAGCACGATGCAGCGGCTGTTTCTAAACCCTAAAGAATAAGCCCTAATAAGAGTAGGGTTCCTTCAAAGGGGTCTATAAGGGCTAGTATAGGGGCTACTATAAGTATTTATTCTAGGGGGCCTTAATCATTACCTATACTTGCGCGTTCCACATACTTCGCAGTAAGCCGCTCCATACCCGAAAGCAAGGCTCAAAGTAGCACAAAGAACCCGGCACAGTAGTCCAAATCGGGTCCATGTACTCATAAATATAGTATATACTTTAGCCTTGAAGTAGTCCCTATAAAGGAGCGCTCAAAGGATCGTTAAAGGATCCCTT